TCCCACCAAGCCAACAACCACTTCCTCGTAAAATGTGGCACTATAAATCGGCAAAATGGAATGACCTAAAACAGTTTTACCTGGATTTTCCAAGGCAAGAGGTTTGCTTTAAAACAGCTGATCCCACTATTTGCTGTAATGAAATAACACAAGTAATCTTATCTGGAATGGATGCATATATCCCACATACAACTAAACGTAGAGCTAATGCAAAACCTTGGTTCAACAGCCAGTGTCAAACGGCTGTACAGAAAAAACACAGAGCATATAACCTTTGGAAACGACAACAAACCGCTCAAAACCACACAGAATTTATAGAAGCCAGAAATAATTGCAAAATTACTATTGACTCCGCTAAAGAAACATACAATCAAAGAATAAAAAAACAGGTTGCTGAATTGTCCAAGTAGTTCTAGGTCCTTTTGGTCTCTTGCAAAAGCTGTTGGATCTAACTTCACCAAGTCATCCATACCACCACTTACAGATAAAAATAATCACTTAGCCACAACATCAGAGTAAAAAGCCAATATGCTGGCCCAAATGTTTTCCTCCAACTCCAACCTAACAGTGCCAAACGGAAAAACTCCACCGTTCATTGAAAGGGTTTCCCATAGTATGCCAGAGGTACCCTTTTGTCACAGAGAAATACGAAAATCCCTTAAAAAGCTAGATACAAACAAAGCAATGGGTCCGGATGGCATTCCCGCAATAGTACTCAAAAATTGCGCCAACGAACTCACCCCAACTTTCGCAAAATTATTCAATTTGTCTTACAGGCAAGGAGTATATCCATCGTCATGGAAGTCTGCCGCAGTACAACCCATTCCAAAGAAAGGAAAAAAGACAGATCCGTTAAACTATAGACCAATTGCTCTACTTCCGGTGATATCAAAAGTAATGGAAAGAGTTGTGAACAATCACCTAACCAAGTACTTGGAAAAGTACAAAATTATCAACGATAAGCAATACGGATTTCGAAAATATAGGTCAACTGGCGATTTACTTACATACGTCACTCACTTATGGCAAAAAGCGATTGAGTTGCGGGGTGAAACAAGAACAATTGCCTTAGATATATCTAAAGCATTCGACAAAGTTTGGCATGAAAATCTGCTCAACAAGCTCAAAGCAATGGGATTATCGCCGAAACTTTGCACTTGGTTTGAAAGTTACCTAAAGGACAGATCCATTTATGTTGCACTGGATGGCCAGAACTCCAACTCTTACCAAATAAATGCTGGTGTGCCACAGGGAGCAATCCTTTCGCCAACTCTTTTTTTGATTTACATAAATGACCTCATAGATAAAACAGTAAATCCACTTTATTGCTTTGCAGACGATGGCAATGTAGTCTCCTCACTCATACCACCCACAGGTCTTTCCGCACGTGAATTCCATCATCTTAGACTAACTCAAATATCGCAGATAAATAACGACCTGGAGATAATAGAGGACTGGGGTAACAAAAACCTTGTACAGTTCAACACGCAGAAAACCCAAGCAGCTCTGTTTTCAAAAAAGACCAGCACCGGTGAGCCAAACATCATGCTATCTGGAAGTGCTGTCACATTACAGAGTCAGTTGAACATCTTGGGGGTTACTGCAGAGACCAACATGTCTTGGCACAGTCACGTGGCAGATATTGCTAAAAGGGCGTCCCAAAAGCTGGGAGTGCTATTTCGTACAAGACATCTGTACACACCAAGCCAATTGCTGACACTCTACAAAGCCCAGATTCGACCAACTATGGAGTACTGCTCACATATATGGAGTGCAGCACCCAAACATACCTTAATGCTTTTGAACATCGTGCAAAAACGAGCTATCAAGCTGATCAATGACCCCGCACTTACTCGTAACTTGGATGGTCTCGAACATCGCAGATCTGTGGGCGATTTATCTCTCTTCTACAGGTACTATCACGGAAAATGCTCTGAAGAGTTGGCACGTATGATTCCACCGAGAGTAGCGCCTACCAGGCGAACCCGTCAAACAGACGGTAACCATGAATTTACTGTCAAACTAGAGGCACCAAGAACCTCATTATATCAGAACTCATATCTCTGGAGAACAGCATCGCTGTAGAATAAACTCCCTGCGACGGTTTTCCCTGCAGGTTACAACCTGAACCGTTTCAAGACCAACATACACCGACATTTCCGCGCACTTGCCGCTTCTCGAGCGTGATAGGACATTTCCTTGCGAGTGCGCATATCCGTAAAAAAAAAAAAAAAAATCGGCATATCGGCCAATCATTGGCCGATAACTTTAGACCGATACAAATCATATTTTAAAATATCAGTAATCATCACTAAGGCTTTTTCGAAGCTTAAAAGAACTAATAATTGTGATTCGTACATATGAGAGTGACTAAGAAGAAAGTAAATATTAGAAATTCTTTTTCATAAATTTATTTTTAATTAATTAGGTATTTATATAAAAAAAAAACTTAACATTCTGTTTATCTAAACTCAAATTCGAAATTATTTATTAATTAAAAAAACAAACTTAAGGAAAAGGTGCGAGAAAACAAATAATATATCGGTATCCCGAGCGGTATCCGCCTTATATCGGTATCGGCCTTCTATAAAGCCATATCGTATCGGTATCGGCAATATCGGTTTTTTTTAAAAAAAACTGTATCTGTCGATCCCTGGATTCAATATTAATAAACTAATACTCTACTGTCTACTAATAGTACTAGTTCTACTATTAAATAAATGAATGATGAGTCAAGACCATTACTATCAAATGAGGTATGTTTCTGCAGAAATCACAAACCAGTCAGAGCGAATTTCATTGGTTGAAAACAGTTAGAAGCAGTCAGAAAACTAGTTCCAACAAATGAAATTCACTCTGACTGGTTTGTGATTTCTGCAGAAACAGACGTAATATTAAACGATCAATCCTCGCACAATTGTGATTGATGCCTCTGCTGAGGACTTTCGAAGGTCCACTCTTTATTATAGGTCAAAGGGAACCCAAACACATTAACGAGAATTAATACTTTAATTGATTAACCATTTATTGCGGTACAAAACGAATTTTTAATTGGTGAAACAACAACGTGATTGTGACATTCTCTCGAATTCGTCTCTTCTTATTGGCAGGGGCGGATGGGCCAGCAGGGATTTTGGGAAGTTTCCCGAAGGGCCGCTTGCTTCCGTGCCGGTCGAAGCATATATACAGGGTGTCCCACGACGTTTCTCCCAGGTGATCATTTCGGAACGCGTCATCCAATATAATTGAAATTTTGAAGATCTGGGTGACTTTTTGTGCCGCTTCTACCATTGTCATCCAAATTTACCATTTTTGCTTCAATTTTGGTCAAGTGACGTCAACTTTCGAATATTAAATGTAACTCATGGTATATTATGGTATTTTTCGTTAGAAAATTAAATTACAAAATCGACTATGCCATATTTGTTGAGGCTTTGTTAAAAGATATGACAGAAAATTATACAGTGGAACATACGATGATGCGTTCCGAAATGATCATTTGGGAGGAACCTCGTGGGACACCCTGTATAATATGGAAAAATAAAATCCTTCATCTTTAATAGCTATTTACCTAACAAGTGCGGTGAGCGGCAGCCGCGTGCGGAAAAATATTTTCCGCAAGTTTTAGGTACAATATTTTTCCTACAGGCGTAAAAATGTAAGATTTTTCTTTTTTTTTTGACAGATCAGTGCGGTACAATTTTTTCCGCACTGACAGCCGTGCGGAAAAACTTTTTCCGCACTGATATGCGTGCGGTAAAAGATTTACCGCACCGTGCGGGAAAACTCATTTTCCGCACGCATGTCAGTGCGTAAAATCGATTTTTTCGAACGGCTGTAGGAAAAAACTATTTTTATCAAGAAATTCAGTCATACTCTTTTACTGGGAAATAAAATAATATTTAAGGCATTTTTCTGCTAGCCCATAGTGATGACACAAGGTAAGCGCGCATTCCTACTTATCGGTCGCAACGAAAGCATTTATCCTCTGCTGCTTCTAGGCCCGGCCTTAAGATCTGGATGGTTGGTTTTACCATTAGGCGGCCGCCTAAAGCCCAGACGCTCAATTGGTCCCGAAATTCATTCTGAAATCAAATATCTTTTGGCAACCTCGCGCCCTGAGACACACATACAGCACCCCAATTGCACTATCGGCAACACTGTTCTGTAGCTGTGGGATTCCCAACTCAGGTAGAGTCCATACCCAACCTAATGTCATGTTGCTGATGAACATCCTGTCTATAAATGTCGTAAATTCATATCTTAGTGATAGCTAGTTGGTTCAACCAAACTTGAAAGTGAATAATGGTTTATATGAAAAGAGAATCCAAGATGTCTTCAAGACATCTCGTTGAAGAAGTCTTAGTCCTAAAGACGTCTTTAGGCAGATCTCTGAAAGACATTGGGTTTTGTAACATTACGTCTTCAAGATGTCTTTGAGACACCTGATAGACGTAAACAAGACGTCTTGAATGTCATTTGTGGACATCTTAGGAATGTCTTTAAGATGTCTATAAAAATTTCTTTGGGCTGCAAGGCTCTCATACCTACTGCCGCCTAGGGCCTAGGGCCCGGTAGAATTTTGAACCGTCGCTGGGTTTGAGATTTTTTCTTCATAATTTCAATGTTAGTAGTGAGTACCTATTCATATTACATAGCTCACCTCATCATTTACCATTAGATAGATGCCTACTTAAAAAACTTAAATTTAGAAAAATTATTTTAGGCTCCAACAGAAAAAATACTGATCTCTGGCAGGCCAGGGCCGGTACCAACAATTTCCCGGGCCGGTTTTATGCTCCCCATCCGCTCTTGCTTATTGGTCGCGCCGAGCGATTCTATTGGTCGCTTGCCGTTCTTGCCGCTGCTCTTCTTGCGCGTTGCCAGATTCTTTTGAGTTGCTATGCTTATTTCGGCGTTGCCATATTTAATTTTGTTGCTATGCTTTAGTTCTGATAAAAGAAATTTGATTTGAATGTCCAAACAGTGATGAATCATTTGAAAAAAATTAAATAAATTGATGAGAGTGAAAAAACTCAAAAATTTTAATTTGGGAGGGGGCTAAGTCTACAGAGGTGAGACTTAGGTAACAATGTGCAGATGGGATCACTTAGGTTTCACCGAGAGTTTCACCCTGCAACTGAGAGACTTTTCAGTTGAGAGTTTTGTTTGCGTGTGTTTGAAGTTTCGTTTTATATTGTTAATAGAGTGCTTTTCCATTGAAAATGAACTTGGACGAACGGATTCTGGTGGAAACCATACAGACTTTTCCATGCATATGGAACACCAAGAATAAGGAGCACCAGAATTCATTGATTGTCGAGAATGCTTGGAAAAGCATTGCTATAATGATGGCTGAAAATGGTAAATGTTTTTTTTCCTATTCTTCTTCATACCTATGTAAAGGATTTTTTTCAGTTGAAAGCTGCAAAGATTCTTGGAAAAGTCTTCGGCTCAAATACATTAGGGAGAGAAAACGCAGCCTCAAGATGTCATCAGGATCAGCTTCCTATTCAGGAAATTGGCCCCTATATAAAAGCATGAGCTTTTTAGCCTCCGTTATACAGACGAGAAGGTTAGTACTTAATAACTACATATTGTAATTTGTCTCAACAAATAGGAATACTTTCCCACACGGTTTGTCTAGCTCTGTAAAAATTAGTTTGTTTGCTTGTCACAAAATTCACCTTTTCTCTTGTCTTCTTAGTAAAATAGAACAAAGCGTACTGTTTATTTCAGATCCATTGGTCATGTTGCCACCAAGAAAACTGGAAGAGTGTTACCACCACTTCAAACGCACTTTTCCAGTTTATGGTCTGCAATAGTGGCAAAGGATGAATCCTCGTTACAAGAAACGTCTGGGCGGACCGATGAGGATTCTAGAGCAGAGGAAGCGGTTCAAAATATTTCAGAGGGTTTGACACCTCATGATTCCGCTTCTTGTACCACTGCAATCACCCCGAGTGGAACGACCTCCCTCCAACCAATATCTGCAAGACAGGGTGTAAAGAGAAAGCAGTGCTCTGCAACACCATCTCCCTCTATAAAGGAAAATTCGGCTGATCGAGAAACGCAAGCAAGCAGTGAAGACCGTTACTTCGGACTAAGCTTAGCGGAGTCCCTAGGCAAAATAGGAAATAGTAAAAAAAAAATGATTGTAAAAGCAAAGATTTTAACTATCATGGCTGAAGCACTGGATGATGATTGATTCATTTTTTTAAAATATATGTGTAAAGTAATTAAACGTGATTTAACCCTTGTTTTCATTATTTAAAATTAAATGACAAGTTCTAGTTTTAATAGTTATTTATGCACCTAGGTCAAAAAGTACAGCTTTAACGCCCGCAGCGTGTGTAACAGCCTGAGGCGTTAGCCGAGGGCTGTTTACACGCTGAGGGCGTTGAAGCTCTTTTTGACTGACAAGATTTTATGCACGATGAGCATGTTTTCATTTTGATATTTAAAAAATTAGGTATATATTTTCAATTTTGAAATGACATCAATCAAAAATATTTCAAAATATAAATTTTCATCTTTACCGCAATATAGACTGTGAGATAGGGGCTGTTTAGTGGAGTCATTTTTTTTTGTCTGGCATTTTGAGGGCTGAATGTGGCTATTAAGCTGATGAGAATATGGGTGATTTTAATGCCGGCCTCCCGTTCGAAAATTTGCAGAAGAAAAAAATTGATTTACATGAGGATTTTTTTTTAATGATCTCAAATTTTTTGGCTTCTAAATAAAAGATTGATATTGATAAATAATTCACCCATGGGCGCCGGCAGCAGGGTGCAAGGGGGTGCAGTTGCACCCCCCTATCAGAAATACATTGAGAACATTATTTTTTATTTTATTATTAGTGTTTTTTTTTTAATAAGTTACTGTTTGAATCGGGTTATTTTATTTATTTCGCGCGCCATCAACCTATAGAATGGCGAAAATTTCAAATGGACCCCGCACACCTCTTATGGGATTTTGGTTAAACGCGCAATTCAACCAAATTTTGGTATGTTGTATATTTCGACCTGCTGAGTAAAAGTTCTCATGGGTACAAACCATTCCTATGACTAGTTCGGATATACAGAGGGTTTTCTAATACTACCTTAGGCAACCTGAGTACCTCTATGAAGTGTACATAAAGCAAAAAAACTTGCATGTATTGCTTTAAAAGTTGTTTATTTCATCTTTCCTTAACTAAAAATTATTTATTTTATTATTTATTATTTATTATTATTTATTTATTTCAAATCAAATAACAGTACAATATTTTTACCAATGTATTATAAGTGTGCACAATAGACATAGTCTGTGCGTGCACATTATTCATTATTTATTAGCAACTGTCACATTATGGCACAAGATAGATAATAATTAGTTAGGTATACAATAATAGCGAAAATTCGAAGGAAAAATTATACTTGTACAATTACAATCGAAACCCTATATTTTTAAAAGAAGATAATTTAGGTATTTGAATATGTTTGAAATTAATTCGATTTATATGTGGCAATGTACCATGTGAGACATCTCTTGTTCATGAACTTAGATCAAAAACTATTTGGAGAACCAGTCAATACTCCGATCCCATAACCAGTTGTGCAACTTGTTTTTAATTTTCTTGTAGGGTTTATCTTTTATTTCTTTGGGCAGCATATTATAGATTTTAGGTACTGTATATAGAAGACTATGCTGACATTTTGTGAATTTGGCATTGGGGGTTAAAGCTTTTTGATTTGTGATTTGCCTGGTATTTTTACCATGCGAGACATGTTGAATGAGCAAATTATTTTTAGACATGAGTCTAACAACAGACTTAATGTATATTTGATTTATTTTCAGTACTTTTGCTTCAAGAAATAAACTGCTAGTGGAAAACATTTTGTTTTTATTTAACATAACTTTCAGTACATATTTCTGGGTGATCACTAGAGGATTGAGAACTGTCTTGCACGCTGCTCCCCATACTGATATGCAATAACTTAGGATAGACTCCACTATTGCATAGTATCCTGTTTTCAATAGGTTTCTTTGCATGAATTGCCTTAATTGATAGAATTTATAAATTAGCTTTCGTACTTTGATGGATATATATTCAACCTGTTTTTGCCATTTTAAATTGGAATCAAAAATTATTCCTAAGTATTTAATTTCATGTTTCCTCTCGATTTTTAGACTGCAATTACATGGAGTTCCCTCCTGACATTCTACCTCATGAACAGTTATTTGAGTGTATGGAGCATCAGCTGCTTTGTTCATAGAAAAACACAGGAAGTTTGACTTTTGTGCGTTTAGTGTTAAATAGTTTGTATCAAACCAAGCTTTTATTAATTTAATAGAGTTTTCTGCTATTTTCTTGACCTCTCCCCATGTTTTTTGTTTTACTATCACTGCTGTATCATCCGCGAAGCAGACAATCTCCACGTCCGGTAGTAAACCCATAATCTCATTAATGTAAATTGAGAAAAGGACTGGTCCCAGCACTGTCCCCTGCGGCACACCAAATTCCAGCAACCTTTGTTCACTTATAGACTCATTGATTTTCACACTTTGCATTCTATTTGTAAGATAACTTCTGAATAAGTGGAGTGCATTCCCACGTATGCCCATTTTTTCTTATTTAGTTAGCAGAATTTGGTGTGTCACAGTGTCAAATGCCTTACCCAGATCCAAAAAAATTCCCATGCATTTTAAATTGTCTTTAAAACAGTGATTAACCCTATCTGCTACCCAGGTGACAGCATCTTCAGTGTTGCAGTTTTCTGTAAATCCTTTTTGATTTTCAGAAAGAAGGTTGTTAACTTTTAAATATTCCCTTAGTCTGAGCGCAATACACTTCTCGACCAATTTTGAAATGTTACTTGTAAGAGCTATAGGGCGGTAGTTACTAAGGTTTTTTTTGTCACCAGATTTATGGATCGGAGTAATGATAGCATACTTAAAGATTTGTGGGAAGACACCGGATTCAAGAACCAGGTTGACCAGATGTAGCAATGGCTTTAGCATGGCATTATGATTTTGCTTAATTATTTCAACAGTAATGTTATCATTACCCGGTGCTGCTTTATTTTTGAGTGAATTTATTAGAATTATTAATTCATTTTGTAATATGGGTCTCAAGAATATTGATTTACTTATTGATGTACTATTAAATTTAATTTTAGATTTTGGTTGCTTTATTTTATTGGACATTTTGCTCCCTATTTCACTAAAATACTTATTAAAGGTCCTGGCCATTTCCACATCCAGCCTTACCTCCGTTCCATCCTCTTTAACAATAGAACTTATTTTGTTGTAAGAATGACATTTTTCATTTGTAGCCTCTCTGATAATATTCCACGTTTTCCTAATGTCTTTATTAACTAGCCCTATCTTTTTGGTATAGTATGAGTTTTTTGCATTTCTAATTAAATTGTTCAACATATTTCTATACTCCTTAAATCTTTTCCGGGAGTCATCAGTTTTGTGAATGACACTTAGCTTTTTGAGTTTGTCCCTATGCCGAATTGACCTTATCAAGCCCAGAGAAATCCAGGGTTTTAGCTTCCTATTTTTACACTTTATATGCATTTTTTCTGTAGCTGAGGCTACATGTGATTTAAGTATATTTATAAACAAGTCTGCACAGACATCAGCATCCCTAGAAGCCAACACACTCTCCCAGTTTTCATTTTTTAGGGTATTGTTTAGTTTTTCAAGATTTGTTTTGAGAATTTGTTTATCATTTTCAGATTTTACTTCATTTTTAATATTTAAATTTAAGAGATGTTTAGTAGGTGTTCGTAACTCTTCCTTTATATACGAGGGGCGCTCAAAAACTATGACTATTACTGAGCTAAATGAGTTAATGACCAAAAATGTTCGAAAGTGTGAAAAATTGTGTACTTGTAGGTACTCAGGTACCTACGTTTTGTGATAAAAGTGACTTTCTATCACAATTAATTCCAGTTCTCGCTACGCTTGTGCTAAAGACTTTTTGCCTCATGATCCCTTGGCCTAGGGTTTAAGTGTTTAGTTATTAGGTATACAAAACAGCCATGGAAAGAAAAGCAATGAAAATTGTTTTTTCATATGTCATATTCCACTTGGTAACCATGGAAACCAAAACAGTGACCTGTCAATAAAGCGAATTGTCTTTTTTGTCACCTTTCTTGTGAAAATGGCAATTCGGGAAAGGTAATGTGCTACGTGTGCAATGAAGGACTAGAGTAAATCGCACTGTTTTATTACTAAAAGATGCCGAAGTCCGTAAATTGGCTGTGAAGCGTCGAAACGAGTTAGGATTTGAGGATGAAAATCTTATTGTTGAGAACTCAAGGTGGATTTTCACATTGAAAACTTTGAAACATAAACAATAACGCTTGGCCCTGATTGGTCGGAAAATGAGGTGTCCCTGCAGTATATAATCAGTTTTATAATGCATGAGGTGCAAATGGCATCTTGCGACCAATAAGCGGCATTGTTTATGTTTCAAAGTTGACAGTGTCAAGTCAAAATCTATCTTGGGAAAAAACGCAGTATATAGTTTGTCATACCTCTATTTGTGTTTGTTTTAAAAACACCCAAAGGCCCACCAAACAAGTACTTTTCAAAATACCCTCGTACATCCACATATACAGGGTGAGTTACTAAGTGCGCGGTCGTCCATATCTCCTATACTAACGGAGATCGAAGAAAAAACTAAATACAAAACTTGTAGATAAACATGAGTACTACATTCTTAAATTATTTTACAGTATACAGGTTGTTCCAATAACTAGAAGTAAGACAAAGTTATGTTTTTAAATGACTCCCCCTGTATATTATGACATTTCTTAATTTTGAATTTAACGAAGATTAATAATTTTGGCGGAATTTTCAATCATGGAATAAATTGAAGATGGTGACAAATGATAGTTTATGAAAAACTAAGACAGGATTGTAAAATCCGTTTTCTTGTAAAATTAACCGTTCAGGTTTTACAGTCTGTCAAAGATGCAAAAAAGTCAGTTTTCAACTGTCAATATTTCCGAAACAGTTGAAGATAGATATATGACATTGTATATGGAATGTGTCTAGAATTTTCCGGAAAATCCAGAAATATCATAATATACAGAGGGAGTCATTTGAAAAAAATAACTTTGCGTCACTACTAGTTATTGGGCCACCCTGTATACTGGAAAATAATTTAGGAATGTTGTACTCATGTTTATCTACAAGTTTTGTATTTGGTTTTTTCATCGATCTCCCTTAGCATAGGAGATATGGACCACCGCGCGCTTAGTAACTCACCCTGTATAGGCACCTAACTAAAAACATGCACCTTTCTGTAAAAGGTCTAAACTTAATTAACATTTTTCAAAGCTACC